CTGGTGTTTTTGTCTATTAATTCTTTTGCGTCGATACTGTCCAGTTTGGCCAATGTACATGGCAGAGGGGCATTGCTGGCACATGATGGCATATATCACATTGGTAGATGTGCAGGTGAACGAGCCCCTGATGGTATGGAGAACACTTTAACCTGTCTGGTCATTCAATGACAGACCTGCGGGTGGCTATTTTACAACAGAAAAACTTCAAAAACAGACTCCAACAAGAGACTGCTGAGCTGGAATTGATATGCAAACTAGATACAATCAACTCAGGATTGAATAAGGACTGGGAATGGCTGAGCCATTACAAACATTGAATCTAACTCCCCTTGTAAGTATTTTCACACTTCTTATCAAATTGTCTGTACTGGGCTATCTTGATTATCACTTCAAAAGTGTTTTTTTTTCTCTTATTTAATTGGCCTCTCAGAGTTGGTAAGACAACTCCCAGCTGTTCATGCTCTCTGTATGTGTGTGTATATATACATCTCCTCAATATATGTTCCATTCTATTTGCATCCGAAGAAGTGGACTGTAGCCCACGAAAGCTTATGCTCTAATAAATTTGTTAGTCTCTAAGGTGCCACAAATACTCCTGTTCTTTTTGCAGATACAGACTAACACGAAACACTGCTACTCTGAAACGCAGCTCAGACAGGCTGGTCACTACTCCCACCGGCTCAGCCAATAAGGAAGCTCCACTTTGGCTCTCCTGGTAGAATCCCTTTCTACAGGGCCCCAAGATCCCAGACTAAGGCTGAGACTAAGATGTGCTAATATGGTAACAGTGCTACTCCCTCCACTGGAAATGCTCTTTGGATAAAGTAGACTTAAATGCTGGCCATCAGTTGTCTGTCATCTTAGGGCACATTCACCCCAGGTGTAATGCCACAGACATCAGTGGAATTACATTAGAGATTAGTTTAGCCCAAATTAAAATTCCATGCTCAGTTACACATATTTGCTTATGTAGGGTTGCACAGGTATAACTTGGGACAGAATATGGCCAAATGGTCTCTAATAGATACAAGTTTTCTCCACTTAAGCGTTTGATCGCTAAAATATCGAATAGGTTTGTTTTTCACTTAATGATTTCTGCTTGAGTAATAATTTATTTGTGTTCCTTTTCCCTCTGCCTCCCTCAGAACTTGCAACCTTCACTTGCAGTGATGTCAAGACAGAATATAACAAAACGGCAGCAATTTCATGCATTGGCAGCAAGAAGATTACAAACGTGGTAGTTAAGCGCTGTGAAAACTGTAATAAACAGAACTCGTGCTTAGAAACTTTTATTAACACATGGACAGGAAAGGATTCCAGTGAAAAGGGAAGAATTCAGTTGGTGCTACAACACAACGTTTCTGAATTGCACATACAGGAAGTAAAAGCAACTGATCAAGGAGGTTATAAATGGTATATTTATTCTGATGCTGGGGAAGACGATGGATGTATAACCCTTGAGATTACAGGTAAACTCACGGCACACAGGGAATCAGATCCCCCCTCTCTTCCCTCTTCCTTGAGCCCTTAGGAAACTGGGGACCAGATTGTGAGCCTCTGAGTTCCAAGTCTGCTCCTGGGTCAGTGCGGCTACATGCTGCTTTTTGCCAGGGCAAAGCCACTATTTAGCCCATGGATAGCAGCACAGGAATAGATAAATGCTGCCAGAGAGGGCTGTGATGCATTGGTAGAGCTGTGGTGGAAAGTCTGACTTGGGTTATGTAATGAGACTTTCTGAGAAATCAATCAGGTGTAAACAGACACCCAAACCAACCTGGCAGAAACTATTTTTGTTTATAAACTCCCTGCCATCTCCAGAATCTTTAGTGATTCCTCGATCCACTTTTCTTTTATTGTCACTTTCCCTTTTCCCCAGTATGGTATAAGGTGCAGTTGTAACCCACCCTAGCACCAGATCCTTTAGCTCCGTCCTCACAGAAATCCAGCCAGGGCTGTTGTTACACAGTTCTAGGGCCAATTCTTCCTCGACTGAACTTCAGAGGAGTTACCCACACACGCCAAGGCTGAATTTGACCCATAGGTTAGCTGTTAATTAGGACCCCATTGAGGAAATCGCTCGGGAAAGCAACATTCAGATGACTCTAGTTGCTTGCAAATGATAGAAATCATTCAGTTGTTGTGGACCCAATCCTGCGTCCAATGATTTGAGTGGTGCAGGATCAGGCTCTCAAAAAGCAATGGATATTGCACAAGCCATAATCAACACTGTGTTTCTTTCAGCTCCAGAAATTGAGCCTATCCTAACTAGAAACGGAAGAAAGCTCTCCTGTCTGTCATCTATAGGGCATCGACAAAGGCAGATCCATTGGTTCGATGGTCACGGGAATAACCTGACGGGCAGTGCAAGCCTGGTATCTGAGGAAGCAGAAGGTGGTTTAACCAGCCTTACCAGCACTCTCCATGAGAAACCCACCTTAACTGCCTCCGAGTATTGCTGCACTGTGCTGTATGATGTGCACACCAAGAGAAGCAAAACCAAGTGCATTCGTGCCCACAAAGCAGTCACTGATTACCCTCATTTTACTTCAACCCCAGGTATAAGATATAGCAGAAATACTTTGGCTAGGTCTACACTACCCCCCTGAATCGGCGGGTAGAAATCGACCTCTCGGGGATCGATTTATCGCGTCCCATTGGGACGCGACAATCGATCCCCAAATCGACGCTCTTACTCCACCAGCGGAGGTGGGAGTAAGCGCTGTCAACAGGAAGCCGCAGAAGTCGATTTTGCCGCCGTCCTCACAGCGGGGTAAGTCGGCTGCAATACGTCGAATTCAGCTATGCTATTCACGTAGCTGAATTTGCGTATCTTAAATCGACTCCCCCCTGTAGTGTAGATGTACCCTTTGAGTTTCAGCCACAAATCAATCGTCTCCTGATGATGAAACGTTAGCAGTTGTCATGTGCAGAATTCTTGCTCCCCAGCTGGAAAGGGGTGACTGGCAGTTCTCAGAGTACTAGTTCTAATGCTATTATTATTGAGCACCACCAGCGTATTGTTCCAGGAATAGTTGTATGCAGGTAAAGCAGAGATTTTTGAATAATATCTCACATGCGTCTGCTTCACATGCTAGGTTTTTTTATAGCACAAAGCAGTGTGGGCAGAGCATTTTGTACAAGAAATCTGATGCCAGGAGAGGGTTCACGGCTGTGAATCCCACATGGAGATAGGATGACAAGAGAGCAAGTGTAAAAAATCGGGACAGTGGATTGGGAGTAATAGGAGTCCATACTAAAAAAAAGCCCCAAATATCGGGACTGTCCCTATGAAATCGGGATCTCTTTGTGGATCTAGCCTGTAGCTTCTTATGTTTTACTGGAATCAACCAAGGCTCTTAAATCACTTAGGCACATTTGAAAAATTTCCTCCAAGTAAGCTGAAAACAAGATCATAAAAGTTGCCATCAAAATCTGCCGTACCATATGACCCACAAGTCATCCTGCTGGGAATTACTGCTTTAAACAAGCTACTGCTTTGGTTGTCACCGTAATGTTTTTGAGTCCTTATTAACACACCTGGTTTATTTTCCAGATCCAGAAATTCCGAAGACCAAGAAAGATCACTTTCCCATCATTCTAGTGTTCGTTGTTCTGGTTCTCTGCTGGTTTGCAGCTGTTTTATACTAGAAGCACCGCCAGCGAGGTACAGTGTGACACACATTAAGGTCGAAGCCTGTTCAATCTGCACCTGCTGAGTTTCAAAAAGTCACTTGCTAAGAGCTAACTCAGCTAATCCACACTTAATGGTGGTAGCCTGGAACAAACATGTGGGGAGTGTCCATGCCAGCCTTTGTAAATGTGTTAGCTACCACACGTTAATTGGTAACAAAAAGGTTTGAGATTAAAATGTCTAGTACAGACCCATCCCATGAGTTTAGAAGAGGGAGAAATGCTGCTGCTTAAGGATATGTCTACACTGCAAAAGAAAAGCTCTTTGTTCAGGTTAAAATAGCAGTGAAAACATGTCAACTTGGATTAGCAGCTCAAATTCAACCCCAGGCTCCCCTGGGGTATGTCTACACGGCAGCTGGATGTGAGCCTCCCAGCCTGGGCAGACAGACTCACAATAGCTGGGCTCAAACTAGCACGCTAAAAATAGCCATGTGTAGGTTGTAGCTCCAGCAAGAATCGGGCTGGTCATGCGAGCTCACACCCAAGGGTCAGGTGGGCTCGAGAGCCCGAGCCACAATGTCCACACTGCTCTTACTAGCACAAGTCTGCCTACCCAGGTTGGGAGGCTTGCGCCCAGCTGCAGTGTAGACAGATCCCTTTAGGCCTGCACTCTAGCTGCTATCCCAAATTAAAAGAAGAGTTGCTGCATCTTCACCGCTATTTTAATCTGAGTTAGGAGTGTAGACAAATCCTTAATCTCCTCTTGAGCTTACTGGTTTGATTTAGCCAGTATTTGTGTGCACTTGAAGCCCTCCATGCTACAAACCATGTAGAGTCCATTCCAGCCCATACGTCCTCATGACTGAAACCCAACACTTAATGCTACACCCAAGAATGTAATAGGAAGTTTGCATGATCCTTGGTGGAGACTGATTCCATACAAATGAACAAATGCAAACTTATAACACACAACGCACCTTACCTTGCACCCCCTAAAGAGGATGAGAAATTGTAATGGAGACAGCAGGAGAGTAGAGTGTCCCTGCTCGTCCTCCAGGCAATAAAGGGTATCTTTTTCCTGCACTAAAGTACCCTGTGCTTTTCAGTCATATCCATAGAATGTGTCCTACCATGCAAAATAATGATGTTGGAGAGGTGTAACTCCCAGCCCCAACGGTCCAATTCTGTCCCCAGTAAAGTCCAGCCCCTCCCACACACACAGCTCTGAAAAGTACGTAATTCCTGATCTGAAGTACTCCCTGCTAGTCCTGGGACACCATACAGCTCAGCTGATGGACCCCAAAACTCCTATTTCAGTGCTGCCACCCTCCCCCAACCACTCCTTAAAACACCACACAGCTCTACCCACGCAAGTTAAACCTACCGAAACTCAGCCTCTGCCCCTCTATACTCATCTGCAATATCCTGTTCGCTTCCAGTCCTGGCAACCCACCCACCCAGCTCTCGCACTGCACCTCATCACAGGCAGTGTGAGCCGACAGGCTACAGGCAGAGGCCAGGTCTGCCCTGTAAAGTTTGGCCAGCATAGCTATGTCGTTTGGGGTGTGAAAAAAAATAATCATACCTATTCCGGCAAAATGGCTATGTAGCTGCAGCTTATTCTGGCAAAGGGGCACATTTGCCTGGATGGTTTATGTTGTTCAGAGAGTTAGAAGGTAACTAACCATTGGAACAATTTAGCAAGGGCCATGGTGGATTCTCCATCACTAGCCATTTTCAAATCACTGTCGGATTTTTTTTTTAAGTTATGCTCTAGTTCAAAAGGAATTATTTTAGGCAAGTTTAATGGCCTGTGTCACACAGGAGGTGAGACTAGAAGCTCACAATGTAGGAATCTATGAACTATAACGTCAGAGAATGCCTCTTATCAGAACACGCTGAATCTCCACCGGGGACTTTGCCAGTGCAGTTATATGGTATTGGCAAAGCCTTTGTAGCGTACACCAGCCCCTAGGGAACCACTGTGACAGAATCCCCCTCGGCCCTAGAGACAGTTCCACTAGGTCAGAGCTGAGGAACCTTGGCAGGGCCATGCAGGGGAAGCTGGCACCACCACAGTCTGTGCTTTGCCTGTACTGTATCCAAACATACACATGGGCCTGGTTCTGATCTAATTGACACCCATTTTACACTGGTGTAATGTCACTGACTGCCATGGATTCTTATTTACACTGGTGTGAGAAAGAGCAGGAGCAAGCTCGTGGTCACCCAGCTGCCACTAACCTGGCTTCACATTTCTTTTGTAAAGAGGGAATTGCATCGATGGTGTTCTCACAAGAGTTTCCCCCCGATTTTTACAGATGAAAATGCCCCTAACCAAGAAGTCTGACATATGAAAACAAGATGGCTCCTGAATGAAAACGATGATCCAGCCTGCACCAATGCAACTGAATTTAAGCGAAGCAGTAGATACAGAAACTCAGACATTCAGTACATACACGCTAAGCAATCGAACAATGTGAAGCAACTAGCATTTTAAAGACTTTTTTTGACAGACATCCCCTGTTTTGCAGACTGGTGGCTACATTCTCCTCTCATTTCACTGTTGTAACTCATTGGAAAATGTGGCCTGATAATTTGAGCAGAGTTCTTTCCCTCCCTGAAACACTGATGCTTTAAGGCCGTATTTTCCCCACTTTTGACGGAATCAAAGCTTTGCATAGCTAGCCCTTTAGGATGGGCTAATATGGCAGCTAGATGTATGTAGCATTGTATCCCCCGATTAACCTGCAGCCATCAGGACAGAAGTGCAGTGCACCATCACAAAGACTTTATGACCTTGTAGTGGGGTGGTCACCTGCTCCTGCCCTGAGGGGTTTAAAGACAGCCCTGGGAGAGGGCAGGTGCAGGGGAAACCAGCCGCAGCTGGGCCACGCCCCAATCAGGCCTCAGATGGCCCTTATAAGAGGGCAGTGGGCAAGGAGCAGTCAGTCTCTCTCTCTGGCTGTAGAGGGAGATGGGCCTGGCTGCTTGGAAGTTGAACAGGGTACCGGAGTGAAGCAGGGCTGGGGAAAGGCAGAGGAGCTGGGGAGCTCCAGCCTGGAAAGCCCCAGGCTGTGGCCTAGCCTTAGGCCAACAGGTACTGAGGGTTGCAGAGGGCAGCCCAGGGGTAGGCCAAGGCAGCAGGTCCAAACCCAACCTTGCCGGTGATGAGTAGGCTGATACTGCAGTCTGCCCCAGAGCACGGGGGCTAGATGATGACTGGCAGTAACCTTCTACTGAGGCGAGGTGGGGATAGTGGGTGGGGGTTTGCTGGGGAGGGGAGACCCTGAGAGAAAGGGGTTCCTGCCAAGTGTCAGCACCCCAGATAACGGGGCACTGGGTCTGGGAGGGACATGGGGGGGCCAAGCGGCAGCGGGACACTGGCCTGCAGAGGGTGCTCCAGGCTGGAAATTGAACTAATTCCCAGAGATGGCCAGCAGGAGGCATCGCAGCAGTGAGTAATGCACCACTACAGACCTCCAGGCCAGTTTGTGTTGTCTCACAGTCACACACACATGCCTGGCCGTTACCCTTTCACCGGGGATGTATTTATTCTTTCCTTATATGCTGTGAGGATTTCAGTGCAGGGTTATAGTACGAGGGGGCTTCCATGCACCTTCACTCCTCAGCCCAGGCTCACCCTCTGAGTTCAACTTGCTTCCTGTTCCTCCCACTTACAGCCTCCCAATTACATTGTTAGCCCAGTGAATAGCACCCAGGGGCTCATAATCCCCCAACACAAATTGTCTAATTGGCTTCAATTAATCCTGCGCTCTTCCCAGTGCTGCAGCAAACTCAGTGACCAGGGTGCTATTAGTAGTATCCTGTCACACCTCCTCTGGCTGAGTTTTAAACCAGTAATTAGGCCCAGGACCTAACTTCTTCAGGGCAGGAAGCTGCAGATGCAAAATTCCATCCAAATCTATGCAAACAGCTGGCAATCCCATGACCATTGGGTTCATCTCAGGAATCTGTTAACCAAAGAAGTGGAACCTCTTGTCATTGCTATGCTGATTCATTCTTTCTGTTAATTAAGGCCAAAGTTGTATCTGCAATTATAGTGTATTTTATGTACATAGAATGTCATGTGTATAGAGCCAAAGGTAATGCAGACCAAAGTCTGACACTGTCCTTTCAGATTCTGGAGCATCAAACCCATAATGGCGATTCCAGTTGGCTCTTTTTGAATCTTTCAGTTGGTCTATGTTGGTTTCTAGTGCTGGGCCAGACACCAGTAGCCCAATAATGAAACTATTGCTCTGTGCCAATCATACGAGTATTGTTCTGTGCCAAAACTTTTTTGCCAGCAGAATCAGTAGAAACCAGATAAAAATTTTCTAATGGAATTTCCATTAGTGACATTTTAAAAATGTGAACCAAAGTTATTCTTTTTTCACTCAAGTTGCCACAGGAGCTTGTGTTCCAGAATTAGCTCTAGCATTGACATTTTTTTACTTCATGGCATCACTAATTACTTGTGGCACATGCATCCGAAGAAGTGGGTATTCACCCACGAAAGCTCATGCTCCTATAGGTCTGTTAGTCTATAAGGTGCCACAGGACTCTTTGCTGCTTTTACAGATCCAGACTAACACGGCTACCCCTTTGATACTAATTACTTGTGGTTTATTTCTGTAAGAAATCATTTTGAATTAATTTTGCAGTAACAGTGATAAGAATATTATATATTTTTTCCATAAGGTTTTGAACTTTCATATGGCTGGAAAGGGCACATTGGCTGGTGGGTTAGGTCTCAAATGTTGCCATCCTGACAGTTACGTATTTACTAAAGCCATGACAGTGTTTTCTTTATGTCCAACACAGAGGTTAACACTGCGTGAGATCAGGGCTCAGATTCCTGCCTGGGTGTTGGCGTGTTGTCTCCGCTGGGTGCTCATGCACCCGCACAACTTTATTAGTTTTTCCCGAGGTGCGGGGGAGCTGCACCAAATGAAGCCTCAATCCTGTATTTTGACCCATATAGGCAGACTGCAGTGCCTGTGGAAAGCCCAGCTGATATTAATGGGC